CAGCGGAAGGGTTGTTGAACTACCCTCCCCTGCTTAAACAAAGCCCGGTCTTAAATAAAAGGTTTGATTTTGTGTTGTATGGGCCCCCTTCGCTAATATTTGCACGACGACCTGCATAGCTTTATTATCCTTTGCAATGAGATGAGGAATATTGGAATAAGGGTTATTTTGCGACTCGTCGCTATGAATAAAATTTTGAGCATGGTGGATCAATCACATCTTAAAATTTACTATATATTTTTTGTAATGTGATTGATCCAACACTTTCACTGCTATGCAGAATCAATCAAAGCCATTAGAGGTAATATAGCATACATGCGTTTTCGTTAATATTTAAAATTTTCCATTTATTCTGTACATATTATTGAACCCCCGTAGCAGGTAGAGTTGCGAGGACGTTAATTAGGTATATAAGATCTTGATGCTTACTACATTCAGACAATAAATTAAATTAAACATTCTGATTACCGTACGGTGTGAAAACACGATTCATAAAAATTTTCACGATAGAAAAAAAACACAACCTTAACTCGAAAATTTACAAGAAAACCGACGTACTCAAAAGGTACTTTACATACACCAATGATATTAAAAAAAATTTTTTTAATATCAACTGAACTAAATAGAAGACAATCATATATTATATGATATAAATTTATCAAATGGCTGTGATTTCGTTTGTAAAATAAATAAGTTCTGAAATAAAGCCAGTGTTTTTGCCGCTCCACCTAAGCAAAATGAACCGTATTACTACGGGAAACATTTGAATAGTAATAGTATGTTGATACATCTACCTCAGCCCGTGTATCTTAAGCAAAAACGATAATTAAAATACGATTCACTACCTCGGTGGCTGAACGGTTACCACGGTTACGACTACCACACAGAGGTCCTGGGTTCGATTCCCAAGCCGGGTGAAATATGTGTATGGCCTACATTTATTTCTCTCGTGATTTTGGGTGTAATTTGTGGTTGTCCATGTGTGTGTCCATGGCACCCGCGACCCGGATATAAAAGTATTATTGATTAAAAAACAAAAATATTAAAAAACATGACAAACTTAAAAGAAACCTGCTTCCTTTGAACAACGTTTCAGACTACCGGTCGGAAATGTTGTTCAATTTGCATTGGAAACATCAAGATCTTCAGTTTTTGCGACTTCGCGATTGTTACACATTGGAAACGACCTAAAATCGTGTATATTTGTTTTTACAAACAAATCTACGTTTCAGCCTTTTTACAAGGTCCCCTAGTTAAGTTGATATGTGCTACCTCATCCACCATGTTTGCCCGACATAGCCCATTCAGATTTTCTCCTGTTTTGATCTTTACAAAATTTGTTGAATGGACGCCACTTTGATAATGAGGAGACTATCAAACGACACTTAGAGCTTATAAGTAAAGACAGGAATTTTTATGAAAAATGAATTCTAGAATTACCTGAAAGATGGCAAAAAAATTGTAGATCAACACGGCTCATACTTAAAGTTTTTTTTTTATACTTAAAGTTTGACATTATTTTTTTTTATGTTTTTCGTTTATAGTTTGACAAAGACGTAACATTAGAACATTATGATCACCATCGTAAGTTTAGAAGCAAGCAATAGAGCTGTTTGTGAAAGAGTTCGTCCTGAGACGTACTGCCACTTTACCTAGCTCTGACTGCGACTGTTATGGACAGACTTACCACCAGACACACTTGTTCGTTCTGTTATAAAAATTTAAAAATGTAAGTATATATGTATGTATGAATGTTTGTGTACACAATTCGCAATTGATACGTGGTACGACGCAGCTTTGTCGTCGTTCAGTGATCGCTGTCCTCCCAGGGGTGAGTTGATAAAGAGGCCTGTCACTCCAATGCGGTGTGCGTTTGGTGCATTTGTGGATGTATTCACTCTCGACTGTGGTGTTAAATAGTTTAGTTAAACATCATTTTTGTAGTCCAACAGATATAAACTTTGGCCTTTAAACTAAGGCCTACTTCATCTATATATCTGTAGATGAGATAGACTTTTATAGAACTGTATAAGCCACTGGTCCATACATAATAGTTTATTGGTACGCGGAGAAAGACTACCAAAGAAAATGATAAAAGTATAATGGGTTGAAGTACAAAGTGTTGTGGTGGTATACTTTTATTGGTATAGTATATCGGTAAACAATTGGTAACTTAAAGTAATCTCAGTACAGAGTACTAAAAAACCGACCTCAGAAGTAAGTGGAATTCATTTATTTGTCAAGTTTTATTGATATCGATTACCGGAAAGTGCGCATACCCGGATTCATCCCTAGTTCGCCACTATGCGGAACTTGACACAGGAGATAATAAAAATCCGTTCTCACTACTCAAAGTATATTGAGAGAAAAACGCCTTGAATTGGTGTATAGCAAAATCAACCATTAAAATAATTGCTTCTTATAATAAAATTTAGGCGCTATTTATAAAATTGAATCTTCATGCGTGAACAGCCACCTTTAGAGGTGGATGATTTTCTTCAAAATTGAATAGGACCACTATGGAGGTACCCTCTTTCTAACAAAAAAAGTATCATCATAATCGGTTCACAAATACCGCAGTTATCGCGTAACATACATACAAAAAAAGCACAGTCGAATTGAGAACCTCCTCCTTTTATTGAAGTCGGTTAATAAAGTATTATTGAGGTGTTGAAACTAAAGCGCGGCACGTGGCTAAACTAGGTCGTCGCCTGCTTAGTTATCCAAAAATGACTTTTTGTTTATAAATACCTAGTGACGGGACAAACATGTCGAGCACCTGGTGATAAGCGACACGCCTATCCATAACAGTTGCGAGTTTTAAATCGCCAAGATCTTAGGGCACTGCCCCTGCACCTGTCACTCTGAGACATAAGTTGACGAGGCCCACGTGCCTGTGATATCACCAGCACCCTCACTCTTCCAAACAGTTCGCAGAAATGCTCACATTACCGCTTGGCGGCAGAAGTCTGAGTGACACTACAACTATGCTATGAACAGGTGTGTCGCTTAACATCAGGTGCACGTATTGCACGTCTCGACACTTAGTATTATAAATTTTAGCATTGTTCCGCTGCAACTGGCGGCATTTTTCATCAAACAAATAACTTTAGACACAGGAAATGAAACAATTGTTTTTGGATCTAAATTACTCATATATGATTTTCAAACGACCTAACGTTTCGAGACCTTTACAGGTCCCAAGGTCACGGCTGACTGAGATGGTAAAGTCATCAACTAGTTGTGTCTCAACCACCCCATTTTTCAAATGTTGGTTTGTTTGAAAAAACCAATATATGAACGAGATTTAGATCCGAAAAAGCAGTTTCATTTTCAATATGTAACTATTGCGAACGTATCTAAGAACTCGATAAGTAAATGTACAGTTAAGGCGTTATGATTCACGCTTACGATTATGATGCACTCCAAAGAACGATTGACTTTTGCAATCAACAATAAGGAATAACAAATCCGAGTTCTAAACTAAAGCTGTCAAGAGAAGTGTACAATGGTCGCTTGTGAAAATGTCAGCTGCCTTCCAATGGATTTTCGGACGTCCAGCCCGTATGTAGACTTAATTACAAAGTTTGAAGGTTCAAATTCATATGATTCAAGGGCGATATGAGGTTGTTACAGAGGGGTGCAAACTTCACTATCAATTTATTGTAGACTACGTTGAATGGAATCGTGTTGTGACGGAGTTTCGATGTATTAGATGCTTTGTAAGTAAGTGCACTTTGTTAGCTTTAATGTGTCAGTGTATTACGTAGGAATTATTGTGAAAATAATAATAAGATATTATTTTGATAACAATTGCACAACTCTACACATATTTATTATTATTTTAATGTTCAGTTCAAGTTAAATGATCTTGCTACGATTAAGCTACGCCGTAGCGCTACGATACCAAATCTCAAATTCAAAATTCTTGATTTCCACGCTTTAAGGAGGGTGTACGAGCTAAATCTGACGATAAGCAGATTTTCGAGCCCCGCCTAACAGGCTTCGTTAACTGCATCCTAACTAAGTCGTAGCCCAAGGGTTCCTTTTAGATTATTAGGTTTGGAGAATTAACTTATTGGGCGAAGTTTTGTGTCATTGAATTTATACGGTTTACTTACAATATTTTTTTTCTAAATTTATATGGTTTACTTACATAGAATTCTTATTTGTTTTCTATCATAATGAAACACACTAATTAATTGATACGGAACTGAAAATTACATACAAAAAACGTAATGATGGGTCATCATTGATGACATCCTAAAGATCACTGTTTGAATTATGAACACTTTTCACAGATTAGAGGGATATATTAGATTGTCACTAGTGCGATTGTGTTACTTGAAGCGGTAGTGGCGTGAGGGTGGCTAAGGGCGGCAGTAGTTTCGGCAGCGGTGAGCGTCAGTCGAGGAGCGTGGCTGCTAAATGCCGCACAGTGCCGCGCCGCCGTCCCGCTCGCTCCGCCGCGCTCGCCGCACCTCTCACTCGCGCCGGCGCGAACACGTGTTTATTTGTATGTTTTATCCTTCGGCGGCTTTAAACCCAACCCACCCTGACCGCAAAGTGCGCTCCGCCGCCCGCCGCGCCCGCACCGTCGCCGCCTCTCGCTCGCCGCCAGCACCGACTCGCGCGCGAAACTTTGGCCGAAGTCGTCGAGCGCGGACGTACGTGTGTATTAATAGCCACCGCGACGGACACCACACCGCGGCTGCACGGCCTACGCGTACTACTCGCATCACGACCGCGCGCTCCAACGCACGCGTCGCGTCGCGCTTTATTAACACAGCTCGAGTGTTAGCTCTGAATAGGAAAAGTGAGTCTCGAAACGGAACACCCAAAAAGTAAAAAAAGAATTGACGTCGAAAGCGAGAGCGACGTGCGTGCGGCGATCGTGTAAATACGTAGCGCAAAAAGAGCCGCCGTCAGTGAAACTAGTGAAAAGTTTTTTAGCCGCGCGCGGGGGAGTCACCCCTCGACGCCGGAAAAAAATCAGCCCCTCGCGTCCCGCGCACGCCGCCGCCGAACTTTTCATTCACCGGGGAAAAAAGTGTGGCAAGGCCGCTGTGACGTCACCGCGTCAAGTGGCCACGCGCGCGTTCCCTAGCAACGTGACGTCTCGTCATTAGCCCTTCGCGGGAACTTGATAAGGAGTGCGTGAACGTTGTGCGGCCGAGTATGTTTGCGGTGAGTGACAATGTATCGGCGCTGCGGTGGAGTTCGACAGTGTGGAGTGGCGAGTGACATGTAGCGCAGCGGGACACGGTGGACTTGATGTGCAGCACGCAGCGCTCGCGGGTGTCGAGGATGCACCTGACGGGCGCCACAAGCGGCGCCGTGTCGCCCGATACCAGCTCTACGCTGCTCCATGAGACGTACACCAAGATGACGTCGGATATCCTCGCCGAGCGAACGCTGGGGGACTTCCTTTCGGAGCACCCTGGCGAGCTGGTGAGGACGGGAAGTCCTCACTTTGTGTGTACTGTGTTGCCGCCGCATTGGAGATCAAACAAGACGTTACCAGTGGCCTTTAAAGTGGTCGCGTTAGGGGACGTCGGCGATGGAACGTTGGTGACGGTGCGGGCTGGCAACGACGAGAACTGCTGTGCGGAGCTGCGCAATTGTTCGGCGGTGATGAAAAACCAGGTGGCGAAGTTCAATGATCTGAGGTTCGTCGGACGGAGCGGTCGCGGTGAGTGCTGAAGGTGCAGTGAATGATACACGCGACAATACACTCATTATTCATTCTCGCTTTGAACCCAAGCCTTGTGACGAAATTAAGATTTATGAGCAAGGATTTCTTCCAAAGTTTTAATTGGCGCTAATGAAATGGTAAACAAAAACACCGAGACAATAATAACAAACGTTAAAATGGCACGTAAAGTTGTTAAGTAGGGTAAACCCGTGACATTGGGGAGAGGAAACTTTTTCGCGCGTCTCAAGATCCCGGATGAATGGCAATAAGAGAGGGCGGGCGTCTTGGGCGGTTATTTCCGCCCAAATGTCCCGCCCGCCCTACACGTTAAAAGTTAACTTTATTACATTTTAGAATTTTTATTACATTACACGTTAGAAGTATACGTTTTGAGGCAAAAATATGCAATTTCATATTTATTTTATTGATTTGTTATCACAACTACAGAATATAAATCAATATTGATAAATTAAACGACATTTATGGCACATAGAAAATTAATCTACATTCCATTATCATATAATTAAATACAGCAGAAAAAAAAATTTGCCAAAGTCAATAAAAAAATACATGATAAAATTAAATTATAAGTTAAGGTCTTGCTGACATAAAATAATTAAATTACGAAAGTAACGGTCTAAACAATTATATGCACGGAATAATTACACGGAACGTCACGGCCTTTTTTTAATAAGTTAATCAGTATTTTTTTAAAGTTTTATTTATTTTCTGTACTAAATTCTTTGATGGTAGTTAATATGTTAAACGTTGGTTACAACGTTTAATTTATTAACTTGGAACATATTAACTTGGAAATTTTAGAATAAGAACTGCTAACTAAAGACTTAATATGTCCAGTAAAATTACAGTTCATTAATCTCCGTAAAGATCAGTTATATTTTTATATCATTTAAGAATTAAATATTTGATCATTTCAAGAACTGTTACTTTAGCAAGAAAATGCTAAACGAAACTATGAAAACTAAATCAAAATAACACATGAAGACAAATGCTGAAATTAGGTCGCGATTATGTTGGAACGGAATAAAAATTCGTCATTCTACATGATTATGAAGCAATCTGAAGTTCAAGAATAGGTTGACCGATTTTGGTTGATTTCAATCTCCCATGAAATTTTAGTTTGATTTTAGAAATTAAGAAAGAAAGAAAATACATTTATTTGTTTACCACAATGACACCACAAAAGACAAAAGACAAAAAAAAAAGAGAAAACGGAACAAAACAGAACTAAAACAAAACACGATCAAAACATTCAAAGTAAAACATAAATAAATAATTTTAAATAAAGATTTCATATAGTCGTATTTAATGCACGCGATTGTACCATAGAACTGGTACGTCATTCCCTGTGTATCTCTTTGCTTGCTTTAATCCCATATAATTTGCTTTTAAATTATAAATTGTTCGGTTTGAATATTATACGTTATACTCATTGACTTACAAATAAATGGACGACGGGTCTAATACAAAAACCACGAAAAAAATGTCCCAAGTCAACCTATTCGAAATTTAAATTGTAATGTCATCGCAGTATCGCGCTGTCAGTAGAATAAATGAAGACTAAAGCGGAGTGTCGCGCTCTGTATACGATTTTAGCGCCTTGCCCTGCACTTGTAGTGCGGACACTTTTTAGCGCGGACCCGACGTCCATACAATTGTAAGTCAATGGTTATACTCGACTTTTTCTTTGTCCAAGTTCATCAGAAATTTTCACAATATTAAACGGTTGTTTTTATCTTAGTAATCTGCATATGTCACATGGGACTTGTCAACTCATGTCTCAGGGTGAAGGGCGTAGTGGCAGTGCCCCTAAGATCATTGCGATTTAAAGCTCTGAGTGGCACTGCAACTGTTATGGACAGGCGTGTAGCTTACCATCAGGCGCACAACTTGTTCGTCCCGTCACTTGATATCATAAAAAATAAAAAACACTCGTTTCGCTACTTACGCTGTCTAATTGTGTCTGCTCAATTTCATAAAAATTATCGCATGCTAATTTTCGCCACAGTAAGATAAACCAAGATTATATGTAATTTATAACCAGACCTAATTTAGCAAGCCAAACCAAAATTTAGCAGTCAAAAGCTACACGTCTATGTTTATTTCCAAGTTAAACTGACAGAAGCGATGGTGAAAATGCGCCAGCGCAAACCACATTAAGATAGTTCATTTACCAAAACTCTACAGCCAATGCTGGTAAGAGACGATGTGGACAAAGTCGCTATCTGTCTCAGTGGCAGAACGGTTACCATACTGGACTGCCACGTAGAGGTCCCGGGTTCGACTCCCGGGCCGGGAGAAATATTTGTGTGGGTACATTTCATTCTCTCGTGAGTTTGGGTGTAATTTGTGGTTGTCTACGTGTGTGTCCATGGCACCCGCAATACAGGGTTTCCCTAGTGCGGGGCTATGAGTGTGCGCGATAAGAAAAAACCTAGTATTCATTTTTATTTTACTATATTCATAAAGCTGATAGCGAGTAAGAATTTATCGAAGAAAGTTAATATGTATTTTCTCACAAATGAAACATAGGTTACTCGATTACTTACCGAAGCAAAGTATTATTTATTATTTCTGATTATTTTTCTTTTTTTCATTGTAGAGCACGCTATGTGCGTAAATATTTTTGTTATGTTATTGTTGAAATTTTTGTTTTCATTGTTCCGAATTTAATAATAGAATATTTTTCACATAGATTTAACATGGTACTATTTACCTCAATTATCTAAAGTCATAGATCGAAATTCTAATTGTGGACTTTATCACGACCTGTACAATTGCATTTTTTATGCTAGTTCCAAATTTCATGGATATCGGTTGATAAGACCGAGTATTTCGTTCGTAGATTATGTAGTAATGGGGGACTGACAATCACTCGCTTTTCTCACTGTTCTTCGAGTAGCAGTATTTAAAAAAATATAAATTGAAATTCTACATGACTAATTAATGATTCTTTTTTGTTGGAAAGAGAATACCTCAATAGTGGTGCCATTTAAATTTGAAGAAAATATTCCACCTCTAAGGGTGGTAAATCCGGTTTCGCGCACTTTCCGGTAACCGGTTTTAATAAAACATGGCAAATAAATGTAATTCCACAAACTTTTGAGATCGTTTTTTTTAGTACTCTGTACTGAGATTATCTAGGCTAAGCTTGGATTCATTTGACAAGTCTTTTATATTCATCATACGAGTACGTACCTACTTACATACTTATTTATTTACAGACTTTTATGGTGACTTATTTTATCAGTGAAGCTCTCCATCACCAGTTATCTATTGCGAGTAGACCCTAGAAGGAATCAATTAGAGTTTTCGATTACATATTTTTATAGAAATAACTTAAATAATTAATTTACAATTTATAATAAATAATTTACTTACAATTTCTGTATATCTATATGTATGTGTATTCCCATCCCATTCTAAAAAAAATGCACGTTGAGTACTACGTCCAATGACGTACAAAAGAATACAAACACAAGATAATTCTTATATCAAATGAAACTATTGTTTCGGATCGAAGTCGCATGTAATATATGCTGTTCGAACAAATCAATATTTCAGGCCATTTATAAGGCTGTTTCTGCATGCTCCTACTGGTAGGAGTACGAAGACTAATATATACTTACGCTCCAGGTTCCATGGTCACGGCTGAATAATAAAAAAACAAAAAGAACGAAACAATCTTTAAGTGCCATTTTCGCAAAATTATAATCAATCATCAAATCTATTTGTTTCCTGTAGGTCCACCTATCACAAACTCGAATTTATTTTCTCCGAAATAACGTTTGTTCGAATTTTCTTTACCCCGAAAACCGAATTATAACGAAACCGTTGTTCTTTCAGTATATGTTGGATATTTATCGCAAAGACACGATTAGGTTCAGTTAGATTTAAAAGAAAAAACATTTTCCTCTCAAAATTGTTTTCAAGGTTATGAAAATTCGAGATTATTTCTGGAAAATGTCATTTCGGACTTCTGATATGTAACCGCACTTTTGACTTATGATCTCATGTAGCTTTATAATACCTGGATATGATCCCCTTTCGTCAACTATCATCCTCCTACCCAACTTTATTTAAGTTCTCTTATACGATCTCCTACGTGTTGGACCTTAATTTGTAATAGGACTTCAATATTCGGAATCCAGTCTTTGAGCTTATTAGTTTCATACCGAGCGTGCTTAGCTTTTTTTAAATTAGTATAGAGTACTAAAAAACCTACCTCAAAAGTTATTCATCCCCTAGTTTGCCACCCTTAGAGATCGAATATTTTCTTCAAATTGAAATGGGACCACTACTGCGGTACCCGCTTTTCGCAAGGATCATCATAATCTGTTCACGAATGGAAGTATCGGTAATAATCGGTGTTACATACGTACAATTTGATTTTTATATGCATAACAGGTTATGACCCCATTTTACGTGATGTTAAATTGAAAATGGAATCCAAACGTGAAGGAACCTAGTGCGGTGTCGATATAATCACTGCCCTAACCACCTCCACCCTGCATGCCTACAAGATGCCTCTTCACACCTCGTTTGAAGGACCCCATATCGTAAGACGTTGTCAAACGTACAGTCGAACATCCTCCAAAGTCAAAGTCAAAGTAAAATAATAATTTATTCCATTGATAAAACTTTTACACTTGAAAACGTCATTTTTAAATTACTGCTCGTTCACTACGCTGACCTCTCTGAGAAGAACGAGCAAGACACTCTAGGGATTGCTCTTTTCAAATAAACTTAAATGCTATATAATACATTTTGAATCATATTTATCTCTATACATCTTTATCTAACACGTAGTCTATGATTTTGTAATATAACTTTACAATTAAAATAGTTTTGATGTAAGTTTTAAACTTAGGAAATGGTACTCTTAATATAAGATTCGGAATCTTATTGTAAAAACGTATACAGTTCCCCATAAAAGAATCGTTTACGTTAGGTAAACGAAAACGTGGTACCATGAG